ATATAGGCTGAAATAGTTTCAAATACAAAAAGATTAAATGGAAAAAAAACATTAATATCAATATTCAAAAATCTATAACAATATATAATAAACATCTAGGCCTATTATATTTATACGAGTTGAAGGGTATTGTGAAATGCATATAAAAAAATGTGAGAAATTTTCTATTTTAGCAAACCAATTAACATAAACCGAAATTTGACAGTTTCGATGCCAGTAAAGGTCAATTCAAATTAATTGTTTTGTTAAAATAGAAAATTTCTCACATCGTGTCCTCATACCAAATGAATATTTTCAAATACAGTATATAAAGAAGAAGTAGACCTTATTAAGTAAAACATGTGTTATGAATACAATATGCTATGCATTATTTGATAAACCTATTGGTTTGTCTTTTGAATTAAGTGAATACGTTAGATTTTCGAATTTCAGACTGGTGGTTAGTGAAGTTTTAATCATTAAGTCAATTGTTGGTTTATTGATGACAGACTGGGCTTGTATTCCTCAATGGACAGATCTGCCAGGTGATAGGAATACCTTTTCAATCAAAAATGACTATGGAATAGACATAAGAGGGTCACCACAAAAAAGATAAATAAATCAAGCATTGAAACCCGCCCCACCTGTCTACTAAAGGTATTAATTTTCTGATCCAATCAAAGTTATTTTGATGCCAAACCCTAATATTGCGGTCTAAAATTACAATTTAAACACCAACAGAGAATGTTCCCCCAAGCCCCTACGCCAAGGGGGCCCGGTTAACTGAATGTGAAGTATTATATAAAGATAAATATTATCAATCCAAAGTTTTAGATATGCATTGCCTTATTAGATTGTTTATTATAAGGGTGTGGGCCCCTAAGGATAATTAAAGGCCCCTCGGAGATTAGGGGTCCTAAGCCTGCGGCAGTTACGTCACTGTAAATCAAAACACTAAAAGCGTTTGGCGCATAGGTCGTACCTCGGACTCCAAACCTTGAGGTCAGGGGTTCGAAACTCTCGCTGTGCAAGTCGCTTGTGTCCTTGGGCAAGGCATTGTATCTACGTTTGTATTTCTCAACCCTGGACTATAAATGGATACCTTGTAGGAGGTTATGGCATTAATTGTACTAGTTTCGTGCGCTAAGCAAGCAACGCACGACTATGTGGACTCTCCAGGGAGCTGAGAAGGTTAGACTTTGTGCAGGTTTTCCATTGTATGTTATCCAGTGATCAGACTAACAACTAACCAACGAACGAACACCTAAATGAATGAATGATTAAATGAATAAATGAATGAATGAAAGAACGAACAAATGACCGACCGAACAGAGAACGAACGAACGAACGAGCGCACGTGCGGACGGACGAACGAACGCACTCACAAACGAACGAACGAACGAACACACGCACGCACAAGCGGGCAGACAAACGAACGAACGAACGAATGAACTAACGAATTAATAAACAACCCACCCACCATCCAACCAATCAACAATCAATTAATTATCGGAAATGGTATCGGAATGGTTCAATACTAATCGTCAGCAAGTGTTTACTAGAATTACTAGGGCTCAACGCTCAAACAACTTCGAGAGTTCCGTCATCAGACCGTGTGGTGACATTTAAAATTTTAGGCGTAACAATAGACAAAAAACCTAATTAAGGAACCCATCTGAAATGATATGTTTGTTTTTTTGGTTTTTTTTGTTCTTTTGATTTTTATTTTTTTTTTACGTTTTGTTTTATTTTTTTCGTATAATTTATGAAATACAAAGATTTTAAAATTTTCTCAGGGTCATCAATAGGGAGCTTTCGATTCCACGACGGTAAGAAGGTCTAAAATGTAATGACTTCACGTAGAAACATCTGCGCATGTGAGTGTGTTTATCGTTTGAGTACAATGGGAATACTCTATGGAATTCTACCACTTTTTGCCTGGATTTCTATGTCGGAGTTTACGCTTAGGCCTATACAGATATCCCAGCAAACACAAAACGTTCTTATAATGTTCGAGAACGTTGTGGTTAGGTATGTCACAAAATCACGTTCACACAACGTTGTAAGAACGTTCAAACGTTGTGAGGTTGTGAAATTAGGTTATAAGTACGTACATATGGTTCTACAAAATAGCGTTTTTATCACCAAACTGTAACGTTATTATAACGTTCTTAGAACGTAATATCGTTAGACTGGAAGGTCACAATTGAATGAATCCGTTCTACGTTCACTTCGTTGTGCAAATCGAAGGCTTCCTAATGCCACAATTCCAGGGGCAGGGCCATGGCCCTCCGTCAGGAAGAGCTGCCCTGCCCCTCACCCCCCCCCCCATCAGGAATAAAAACGATAATTCGTCGGAGAACAAGTTTTTTTTTACATATTAGTAGACTCTAAAATCGATTAAATAAGCCTTTGAAACTCCTAAATTGTCATATTTTTCCGGGGCTTCGCCTCCTGGGACGCTTTCGAGAAATTGTGAGCGAGCCCGACAACGCCCACTTTTTTCGTTGGGGACATTTAAGCTCCGCCCACCTTCCAATGCTCGCATTACCGTGTTTTTATTAGTTGCACTTTTCACTATAAACGCGTTCAGAAGGAATTTAACCGTTTATAAAAAAAAAGGGGAAAAAAAGAAAAAGGGGAAAAAAAACCCCAGCAGAAACACACCTTCGTGGTATATATCAAGCTAGGTAAATTTATTATCTCTCCAATATCCTATTAAACATCAATAAAGTGATAAAGTAAGCTCGGATCAAAGGTTGGCTGGAATTGCAGGCCAAATCACAACACATGATACTTTCCACAATTTTAGTAGGTACGCCCTACAGGAGGATGTCTGCCGCTCTCGCCATATACGATTCGGACCATTGCTTCTTAAAAAAATCGCGTTACGGTGGGTTCCATCCAATCCTGATTTTCATCGCTGTTGGTATTCTGGCACTAGGAACTGGGTTACTTATTCCCTGAAACTATGCGTAGCCCGAAGTGTATCACGGATAACGAAACTCCCAGTAAGAAAATGGTTTCAGAAACACTTTAGAATTCTATAGATGCTACAAATATTGAAGAATATGTAAAGTAAGTATCTTTTAAATGTTCAAATTTATGTTCAATAAGACAATTATTATAGAATCTTTTTACGATTGCTGAAGCCTATTTCCGAATTCACGTTCTTTTTTTATGTAGGCCTACAGTTTAGTTTTCTTACGTAGCACCATCAACACATTGTAAATAAATGGATACCATCATGTTCGGAGCTAGCATTTGTATCTCTTTGCTAACAAATAAGAAAATATGACAAAAAATTACTAGGTCTAAATTTACTACCATATTACATGTTATTTCTTTACAATATCAAGGTATTTCACGTCTCAGCCTCATCTAGCCGGTACACCTGCAGAGAAAGAAAATGCAGAATATATTCGTAAAACATGGATTGAACAAGGGCTGGACAGCGCCAAGCTGGTTCCTTATGATGTTTATCTGTCATACCCGGACAAAGACAACCCTAATAAGGTAAACAAATTTTGATCTATTTTATTTATTTCTGCAAAACACATCAAACACGTTTTTAGTTACACAAGGGCGCATACTTGTTTTGAAAGCTGAGGGAAATAAATTTGAGGAAATAAATTTGAGGAAATAACAGGCCTACCTTTTGATGGTCGGAATTGACACTCTTATATTATTATAAAATTCATCATTTCATTCTTTCTCTACCCATCAGTATGAAAACAAACAATAACAATAAGAGATACAATGATCGAATAATAGTAATAATACGAATATTTAAAACAAATTATCATCACGTCACTTTTATAGTCAAAATTAAGCTCCAACAAATTTTTCACGATCCGGTTAATGGTTTTAATTTAACGGCTTAGAACTGCTGCAGAATCGCTTTCCTTCTAATCTTGGTCATTTATACAGTTCGTTTCAATAACTTGTAAGCACATGAAAGTGCTACCAACTCATTTATTTTCTAGATTTTTCTAGCATTCTTAATAATGATAATAATTAATAATAATTATTATTATTATTTTAAAATGCATGTAAATTCTATAAAATACAAATCATTTGATATAAAAGAACAATAATGGAAATATAGCATCTATTCAAAAAAAATCCACTGCAGATTATAACCAAAAGATTTAGATATTCAGTGTTACAATATATAAAACATTCTAACTTGTAGGTATCACTTTTGGAAAATGGCAAGGAGATTTTTAGCACTCGAGAGAACGAAGACATTCTAAGGCCCGAAGATGATCATCCTAATGTGGTACCTCCTTTCAACGCGTATTCTGCCCAGGGAACAGTTGAGGTAAGTGCACAATTAAGTTAGTTTATCTAAGAAAATAATGATTGACATGTAACCATTTAAAAGACAATCAATACCGTACACTATTAAGAGTTTAGCATAATAGTTGACAATTTTAACACAATGCGAAAATATTCTTTTCTTTTGAATTAATAATTATATGCTTATAATAATTTTGGCATAGTTTTACATTAGTTGATTTTCAAAAGCAAACCTTCTAAGCCTTATATTAGAAGTCAGATGACTTTAATCATCCTGCACATTTCCACGATTTTATTGAGATTTTCATGTTTGTCTTGCTTCCAACAACTTACAACCTCAACCCTTCTTCGAATCTTTAGTAGTGTTTTTGCTGCTTAAACCAACTCAACTAAACTAAATTTCGGCAACTGGCCGACTATTAAAATTAACTGAAGTATTTGCCAGTTCCATTCAGTTCTCTCAATTGTCAATGTTTAATTTTCTGATGAACAATTGCATAAAACCTGCCATTCGACAGTGCTGTGATTCCCATCGGAAGCGGGCATAAGTAGGCTAGTCTGGGCATCAAGTTCTGGCTAGTTGTTTACAGTTCAGAGTATTATTAGCCCTGTGGGTGGATTTGAGCTAAGTTCAGCAACACACTTTTTATATTACTTCATCTTTCTCATTCTAGGGTAATCTCGTATATGTTAACTATGCTACAGCCGACGATTTTGATTACTTAGAAAAGAATCGTCCTGATATCAACATCACTGGGAAAATAGTGATTGCTCGATATGGCCTGATATTCAGAGGAAGTAAGGTAAGATTTCTATATAATTATATCACATAATCATTGTTTTAATAATTATTTTATTTTTTATTTTTTTTAATATGTAAAGATGGGTAACATTAGGCCTCTGTGATTGAAATTCCAAAGTATATATGTTACACCATGTTCATGGACACTACTCTCTCAGGGGCGGATCCAGGATTTAAAAGAGGGGATTCAATATGTTTCCAAAAAACCCCAAAATGAAAGGGGGTGGGGGTCCTCCCTAGTAAAAATTTTGATTCCTGATGGCCGGAAATGAGCTTTTCCGACATCTGAGGAGTCTTTTAATTACCTTTATCCCCATGGATCCGCCACTGTCTCTTATAAACAAACTAAATTTCTACTAACTAATAGGTAACAATAACAAGAAACTTTCTGTGATAGGTCAAGTTTGCCGAAGCAGCAGGCGCAATAGGAGTTATTCTCTACTCGGATCCCAAAGACTACGCATCGGACGATGCGATAGATGTCTACCCTAATGCTTGGTGGTTACCAGACTCAGGTGCTCAGCGTGGAAATGTGTTTGTCAGCGACGCAAAGGGTGATCCATTAACACCTGGATTTCCGGCTAATGGTAATTTCTATAAACTGAAATAGTGTCTTAACTATAATGCTGCAAAGGTGCAAGCCTATTAATATAATAATAGAAATATGGTTAATTGTACAAGTACTTTAAATCCCACACTAATTCATAGGCCTATATTTAATGTATTCAAAAAGAACTCGTTGGATGTTAAAATATTATTCTTCCACATAGTAGGGTGGGGGAATGCTAAAAAAGGTCTGACAGAATCTAACAGTTTTCAGTCAAAAGGAAGCGCGACAAATTGTGGACTGGGCGATTTTAAGCTGTTCAGATGAAAACATATTCATATAATTTTTATCGTTTCAGAAATTCTAACTTTCGTCTGTTGAAATGATACTAAATGTTTTATCAACCAATGACAGATTGTTTTTTTTAGATAAAATAATTTATTCACAAAAATATAAGTATATTAAAGACCTAAGTCTATTAAATCTAATGGTATTTATCTTTTCTGTATTATTAGATTATGCTTATCGGCTAGCGGATGAGGACACTGCTTTAACTAAAATACCAGTACATCCGATTGGTTACGACGATGCTGAAAAACTCCTAATGTGTGTAGCCAACATGATTGTCATATTTGATTTGGTCTAAATACAGGCCAATTTTTTCTAAAAGTAATGTATAGCTTATCAGTCAAATATAATAATATAAAACTCTGGATCATCTATCATTTGTTTCATTTTTGAAAATTTCTCATCTTACTTTTCATTACTTAATTCATATTTTGGAAAAGCATTACTACCAGACGGTGGACGGTTTAAAGTTTACCTTTTCACAAATATTATTTATTTCAAGTATCTCTTCAACGATCCTGTCTTGTCGTTTCACATGCTTAATAGAGGGCGTATATCACATTGATCCCTGTTTTACGCGTCTGTGCCACCCAACACGATCCTGCATGGCATATGAATATCATTATTAACTGAGCTTTTAAAACATTTAAATTGGTGTTTCAGGGAGATAGGTGGTGACGAAGTACCAAAGGATTGGAAAGGCAGATTAAACATCACATACAATTTTGGACAAACTTTCAAGAACCCAAACAGGTAAAGAAATGCAAAAAACAAGTGCAAACACTTAATGTACTGTATACTTAAAGTATTTTGTTTGTATTTGTATTTTTTATTAATACCACAGAACCATAAGTTTAAAGGTTTTATCTAAGAAGGAAATTCGAACAGTGTACAACGTTGTCGGCATGATCAAAGGCAGCGTCGAACCAGGTAAGTTGTTTACATTATAGTAATATATAATAGTAACTACTACTACTGCTGCTACTGCTACTGCTTCTGTCTGCTGCTACTGATGATTCCTCGTTTTAATCTTTATACTGAATAATAGTATTTCTAATTACTAAGTTAAACATTATTTTTTTCCTTACTCATCAAGATCGTTACGTCATTCTCGGCAACCATCGAGATGCATGGGCTTATGGAGCAGTCGATCCATCGAGTGGCACCGCAGCGTTGATGGAGGTTACAAGAGCGTTTGGGAAGTTACGTAAAACAGGAGGTGAGGTGTCCCTTGTTATCAGGAGACATCTTCTGGACCAGACGAGTACCCTGTTTCCTCTCAATAAGCATTGAACGTGTGTTATATTGGCCATTTGGCACACCCAAAAACTGTCCCCGTGCCCTTAATGGATGTGTCCCCTTCTGGTTCTAAAATATATACCGGTATTTCTCCGCGTTGAAAGAAGATGTGTCTCTTTAATAGTGATGTCCTTTACAGGAGTGTCTCAAATTTAACTCTTCAATGTACCATGTCATATTCACCCGTATGCATTTGTCGATTGGTTGCGCTGCTATGCAAACGACTAACCAGGGGTTTTTCACAGCCAGTCGATAACGAAACACTTGTATATTTGGATCTTCAACGGACACAAAACGATAAATACGATCTCATGAATACTGTGGCGGACTTATAATAACATTATTAACATGCAGAAACAATATTGTGTAACACAACCACGTGAGGGTGGTAATAGATTGTAATTTGGAATTTTAGATAATGACATGGTTTTTGGTTTGATAATTCTTTAATTAATTTTTAACGATTGGGCTAAAATTTAATATAATATTTCAGATTGGCGACCACGAAGGACGATTTTATTTTGCAGCTGGGCTGCAGAGGAATACGGTTTACTTGGTTCCACAGAATACGTTGAGGTAATTGAAGCTATTGCAATCTGCCATATAAAAAATAAAAATAAAGAACAACATTAATGGATATAATACTAACATTTAATGGCATATATTATCTATACATGTGATAAGTCATATTATATATATGCATATATATACGATATATATATACGATATATAAATATATATATTATATATATATATATATATATATCTCATAAGAATATCACCATATTAGATTATATCATGTCAAATATTATACCACATATGTCTTAAGTCTATGAAATAATAATCATACATTAGTATTATCATATTATTATCTATGTTCAAACAGTGTAAAACACAAAATCACAGAATAATACAATGAATGTTATCTGAAGGGCTGAACAACTTTAAAATGTTTAATATGGAGTAGGGGTATGTTTTCAAGGTGAATTTGATTTTTCTCCGTGTCGTTGATGATGCCAACCTGTATAGACCTAAATATATTTTTAAATAGTAAATTTAATGTCTTTGAAAACATTTGGTTTTCTCAGGACTTTCAGCGAGTGTTGGCCGAGAGAGCAGTGATATACATCAACGTAGATTCAGCAGTGACTGGTAACTACACAATGTATGTTAAGGCAACCCCTTCTGTGAAGAAGGCAATATTCGCTGCTTCAAAGAAGGTAACGATATTATTCATGACCGTATTTTAGTTAGGTATACAAAACCGACAAAATGATGAGTGTGTAGGCCGGTTTTTACAAATATAAATGTCCATACAACATTACATCAGTATAATCTATAATCAGGGGCGGATCCAGGGATTTTTTAACAGGTGTGGGTGGATGGGGCACAATATGAAGTTCACGCCGCCACGCTCACCTCAGCCCCACCATGGTTGGTGAAAATAAGTGATAAATAATCGAGCTGTTCTTTCGCCCACTGCTGTATCGCCACTGAACTCATGGGTGCACTCCCATTTTTGCTCTTTACTCTCTTTAACTCAAATTTGTCATCCTCTTTTTTATTTTTTGGCTTGACCAAAGATCTTATAAGATCTTTGGTTTGACTGACGGAGGTGGGCCGGGCCCGCTGGATCCGCGAGCGCCTTATAATGAAATTTAAGTGATATAGGTTCTCCTTGAGAGTGTGAACAACCTTAGATTGACATACTGGGCTACAATATGACACGTTTATTCGTTTCTTTATAAAGAAATATTTATGAAATAGCCATTAATATGAAACAATATACGGCCTATATCAAAACAAAATAAATCTATTGTAATGTTAACATCCTTTTATTTCCAAATATAGGTTCCTTCTCCTGATGATGGCTTTTCGTCAACCTTCGAACTTTGGCAGAAAAGATACGCGGACAACGATGACACTACTATTCCATAGTATGTTTTGACTTAATAATTTTATGTTCAATCATTTGCACAATCAACTAAAATAAAACCTGTTTGTCATTCCAATTAAACCATTGAGGTACAACACATCTTACCGAAAATCAATGCCGTAGCCCGCTATTGGGACAGTTGGGACAATCCCACACAATTTTTCTAATGGGTCCACAAATAATGGGTCCACATTTTAAAAATGTGTCCGAATTATGCAATTTCATGCATAAAATGAGTCCACTTTCTCTCAAAATCGGTCAAGATTTCTCATATTTAGCCTAAAATTGGTAAAATTTTAAGAAAATGGGTCCAGATTTTTCGTACTTTTGAGTAAAATGGGTCAACTTTTAGAAAACTGGGTCCACAATATTTTAATTTACTCGTAAAGTTGGTCCACCCTGATATTGTCCAGCACTGTTTGAAAATCTTGGCTCTGCATTGCCGACAATACTTTCTTTCTTTAGTACTCGAACATTGGGATCAGGAAGCGACTTTGCACCTTTCATGTATCGCATTGGTGTTCCTGCAACCGACCTCTGTTGGACATACGATCCTGTAGGTATATTTTGCTAGATGATAATAATAATCATAATAATAATAATAATAATAATAATAATAATATTAATAATATTATTAATAATAATATTAATAATACTAATAATAATAACAACAATAATGATAATAATAATAATATTATATGATTAATAATATGCCTAAAAATAATAATAACGAAGAAGACGAAGCCGTCAACGGCGCTGACGTTGACGCCCACGATGAGACCATCGCAACAACAAGGGCCACGACGACGAAGATGGTGATGACGTCAAAGACAATGATAACAGAGATGATGGCGACAACAGCAAACGCAGTGACGATGACAACGGACGATGATTGTGATGGTGATAATTTTAATCATGATATAAGCCTATACGACGGCTAACCAAGCATACACTGTACGCGTAACGATGACGTCATACTTGAGATATCATTTTAAAGCTGTAGACGAATGTTTGTTCTTAACATTAAAAATATTCTTTTCACAAATAATTTTCTTCAATAAAGAATTTGGGTTTCTCATCGTATCCTGTATATCATTCAGTCTACGAAACGTTTTACCTTGTCAAGACGTTCCTCGACTGGGATTTTAAACGTCATCAAGCGGTGGCGCGTGTTTGGACAGAGGTTGCTCGCGATTTTGCTGACTCTACCATCTTACCTTTTGATTGCGTAGATTATGCAAATAAGATGCATAGTTCTATTAACTCTATCAGGACTACTTACGAAGAAAACATGAATAACCATGGTATTACATTCGGTAAGATATAAACTATTCCATTTCATTTTAAAGCGAATCCATTAGGTTAATGTATGCGTAATTATTTTATTTTGATAATTACTAGTTGTTAAAAAAGAAGTCTATGTTGATGAAAGTTGTTTTTCTTTTAAGATGCCGTCATATCAGCCATAAATAATCTGACTACTTTTGCCACAACGTTTCATAACAATGTCCAGAAAATGGACATTTCAAAGTAAGTAAGCCTAGGCCTATATATAAAATATAATTGTTATATTACAAAAAATTTCCAAGGAACAGGGTAGTAGCGAAAAGCTCTGTTAACAATTGTTCTCTACTATATTTATGTTTATATGTACGAAATGGCTGCCCCATGCAGCACAATTCTGATAATTTAATAGAAAAATATATATACAATTTACAAATTTTTATAATTGATTTTTCAACATAATCTTTGTTTTAAGTTTACGGTATCATTTCCAATTGTCCTAGGAAATGTTATGTTATTTATGTCTTTATTTTATATAGTGTTCTTGCTGTACGGAGAGTCAATGACCAGCTTATGTTATTTGAGAGGGCATTCATAGATCCACTTGGTTTACCTGATCGAAAATTCCTCAAGTAAGTTTTATCTCATGCCTTAATGTCGTAGAGTAATCCTATAGGCCTACTGGTCATCTCTTTTCATTAAATATTAATATATAATTTACAAAGTCGTCCTGAAGTCCTGGACTCGAGTATTCGGTAGTTGCAAATAATGTTACGATGGTTTCACTGATAAAATAATCTCCTCGAACTTATACCGGTAATGTCTTAACAAGACTATATTGCACACTTAAAAGCAGATGTATCAATTTATTAAATATTATTTGTGTTAAGCGAATTACTTTTCGATTGAAAAAATATCATATGTTCAAAGGTTTTCATCTGGTTTGTAAATTTGTTTGTTAATTCCAACTTTCATTTTTCCTAAACCAAGGAATACAGCAACAATCGTACGGTACTTACTTGCAAAATTTCGAATAAAAATTCGGCATGCAATGAACTGCACACATCGTAGGCTGTCTCTTATACACATCTAGAGCCCCACACTGGGCCGACGGTACTCGGACGACGCAATTTCATGGAGAACACAACACGACGAGGTGCGGCATTCAACGGCCGTTCAGTCTGACATCGACATTCAGCCGACGTCGTCTCTTCGATCATCATCAAGCTCTCACAGAGAGCGGAGATGGATTCGTCGGCCAACGGTCGTACAACCGTCGTATGACGCAATGTGTGGCCCAAGCAAACACAAGTAACAGATTAGGCATTGCTTCATCTAAATCGCTCTAGTGTGAACCAAACCCAATAAGTGGACCATTCTGGAATGTCAATCAAACATGACAATTGACTAATCAAAAATGGGCCAGAAAAATACATTTCTTATTAGGCATAGCCCTATTACTGTTTTTCATTGTTTGGGAACAACGTTTAAACAAGCTCTCTGAGTTTCTTAGGTGTTTCCTTTCATCATATCTACTTCATTATTATTTTACTTGTATTTTTGTGTGTTTTTGAGAATGAACAATAATTATTTTAAAATTTTAAAATTGAAACATACATGTTGTTCCACAAACACGTCTTTACGTACGTTTGGTAGTGATACTGGTACTGGTATTAGGCATTTATAATGCACCTCTTCCCAGAGGTTATAAGACGTAGTTCTTTACGTTGCCGAACAATTTCCAAGGAACGGGGTTTAACGAAAAGGTCTGTTAACGATTGTTTTCTACCATATTTATGTTTATATGTACAAAATAGCTGCCCCATACAGCACAATTTTTATAATTCAATAGAAAAATATCTATACAATTTACAGATTTTTATAATTGATTTTTCAGCATAATCTTTATTTTAAGTTTACGGTATCATTTCCAATTGTCCTAGGAAATGTTATGGTATTTATGTCTTTATTTTATATAGTGTTCTTGCTGTTCGGAGAGTTAATGACCAGCTTATGTTATTTGAGAGGGCATTTATAGATCCACTTGGTTTACCTGATCGAAAATTCCTCAAGTAAGTTTTATCTCATGCTTTAATGTCGTAGAGTAAACCTATACTGGTCATCTCTTTTCATTAAATATTAATATATAATTTACAAACTCGTCCTCAAGTCCTGGGCTCGAGTACTCGGTAGTTGCAAGTAATATTACGATCGTTTCACCGATAAAATAATCTCCTCGAACTTATACCGGTAATGTCTTAACAAGACTATATTGTACACTTAAAAGCAGATGTATCAATTTGTTAAATATTATTTGTGTTAAGCGAATTACTTTTCGATTGAAAAAATATCATATGTTCAAAGGTTTTCATCTGGTTTGTAAATTTGTTTGTTAATTCCAACTTTCATTTTTCCTAAACCAAGGAATACAGCAACAATCGTACGGTACTTACTTGCAAAATTTCGAATAAAAATTCGGCATGCAATGAACTGCACACATCGTAGGAGTTCATTGCTTGGAGCAACGTCACAACTAAGTGAACCAGTTGTTTATTTTTATTGAGTTAAGAAAAAAAGAACTTGAACTCATCGCAGAAAAATATTTTCTCCTCCGATGGACAAAAAAAAAACAAAAACTATAGTTACACTTGTATAAATACATTGGCTGGTCCCAGTAACCAGTTTTTGCAAAAAATCCGCAAAATCAGCAAAAACTGAAGTTGTTTGTTTTTTGTTTCTTAGACTAAGTTTTATTGGTCATTATAAAGGAGTTTTGTGATTTACTCCACATTTTAATACAAAAGTTAGCTTGAATTTTGTTATTGTTTAATCTAAATAATTATTGTGCACAGAGAATTAATTCAAACCTAGGATTGTAAATGATATGTACCGGTATTTCATTGTTTTTAAATCATAGACATGAACCATCTTAAACGTTATTATTTGTTTTCATTGCAGGCATATAGTTTTTGCTCCAAGCAGTAAAAACTACTACGCCGGTGACGCGTTCCCTGGACTTGTCGATAGTCTTTATCGCATAGATGAAGATACCAACAACCAAGACCAGCGGTGGGATGCAGTCCGAGAACACATGGCCGTAATCGCTTTTATGATCCAGTCTTCTGCCAGCACTCTTACAGACGTTGAAGACTATTAAGACACAAAGTGGTTTACACATGCCTTGATATATTGCTGAATGTGCCTTTTCAATGGAAAAACCAAACAAGCTTTTCACGACTTTGACAAATATTATTCTTTAAAACTTTGTCTGACGGATCATCAATTTCTTAACTCTTTATACTTTCAGGGCTCTACTAGCCCTAATTAAAAAAAAAGATTGTTATAAACAGTTTAGTTCAGTACACCTACACCTGTAATACGTTATAATATTGATTTGAAGCGGAGAAAGATTTCACAAGTTATGCCCCTTACGACATCCAGCTGCATTTACTAATAATCACTCCATGATGGTGCTGCAGGCGGGCAGAGTGGGTTTGATCCGAGTCTAAGAAAATCGTAATTACAAACGATCCACTTACGTACCCTCTCCTATATTATATTATATTATATTATATTATATTATATTATATTATATTATATTATATTATATTATATTATATTATATTATATTATATTATATTATATTATATTATATTATATTATATTATGTTATATTATAATATATTATATTATATTAGATTATATCATATTGTGTTAGTAAGTGGTCATTGGATTCGTGGTGAAATTAGTTGAGTGTATGGTTGCCAATGACATCTTTATTGTTTGAATGTTGAGTTTCTCAGCTAAAAATAGTTTAAAGGAATCCTTTGCTAAATGTTGGCTGGGTGGAGCATGAATTGGGCTTTTCCCTGCAGTGAATGATCCCATGCATTTCGCGTTAAATACGGTATGCCTATTCCGTTATTCATATATGCTGTCTTCCGATATATGCCTTTTAAAACTAATAACACGCTAATAGATACATTTTATTAAGCGTGATATACATAGAAAGTTCACAAGATTGATCAATATTTGGGACTTCTGGCTCGCTGAGTTTAGAAGTCTCAAGACCTTTTTGAGGCCTAAATGAAATGAAATAATATTTGAAGGTGAAGTTCTAGTTTTCTCTTGTTTAAAATAAATGAAACAATACAGTTCAGAGGGTGCGATCGCACACCCCTAATTGTATTAAGAAAAATAATTGTAATGTATTGTATTGTTGATATGAATTATTGGTAAGATTTTTACGGTACATGAGAGTGCAATTTTCGGGCACCTTGAGGTCCATACTCTCAAAATGTTCGCACCTCAGCACCCATGGGCGTAGATCATGGGGGAAGGGGTAAACGTCCAGGGATGGTGCCAGGATCAAATAGACCAAAATATAAGAAACACACTCTCGATGAAGATTTATTAGAAGCCCCTCCCCCTACTACGACCCAGCATTTTACTATGGAGCTTACGGAGTCTCCTTTTACGGAGCGCCGTTTGGGACATTGCTATTTGTGTCTTTAAATAGGCATTCTGTTGCTACAGAAATAATTATGTACCACAGAATTATTACTTTCAAAATATTCTGTGCTACATAATTATTTCTGTTATTACAGAAATAATTATGTACCACAGAATTATTACTTACAGACTATTCTGTGTACATAATTATTTCTGTAACAACAGAAATAATTATGTACCACAGAATTATTACTTACAGACTATTCTGTGTACATAATTATTTCTGTAATAACAGAAATAATTATGTACCACACAATTATTACTTTCAAAACTATTCTGTGTACATAATTATTTCTGGAATAACAGAAATAATTAAGTACCACACAATTATTACTTTCAAACTATAACAGAAGTAATTATGTACTAAAGAATTATTTCTGTGCTCACAGAAATAATTCTGTCCAGGACAGAAATAATTCTGTGCACACAGAATTATTTCTGTTCGGACAGAATTTTTTCTGTCCTCCCACTATGCAAATTGGAAGGTAGAATTTCCATCAAATATCCAATGAAATCACGAGTGTCTGATACTGTCCTTAGAGAATGAGCAATGAAATCACGAGTGTCTGATACTGTCCTTAGAGAATGAGCAAACTTCGCGGGTTTTTCAGTAACAGCGTAAGTGATGACTGTTTTGATATCGAACAATAAACCATTATTTCCATTACTATTATTCACAAACAAACTACTTCCAAAATCGTAAGAATCATTTGTTAGATACCTGCGAATCGACCCGCTACATTTATAACTGTATCATTTAAATTTAACATCCTAATCTTGTAAGCTTTGTCAATTTAATTTTAACTTTAAAATAATTTCTATGAGCTCCTGATACCATAGACTAGGCATGGAGCTGCTCCAATGTCATAGTGTAATCAGTGCTTACATTTTATAGTTTAGGCCTAGTGTGCTATGATTTATTTAATCCACATATATATATCTGTCTCTTATACACATCTCATAAGAAATAGAGGAAAGAAAACAGGATATCTTTATAACATGTTTCCTCTTTTGG